TCCATAGACTACTACTCTAGAGTTGACACAGCACTGGGCCCTAAATCACAGGACTCAATGGGGGCTTGTAACTAAGAAGGTGAATTTCTTGTGGTCTTGGATCTACCTCCGGCCATGCTCTGTGCCCTAGGCCAAGTGCTGGCCACCCCAGGCCACTGTGTGGGGCTGTGGGGCAGCAGGGTGGTGGTGGAGGGTGTGGTGTGTGCAAAAGGCTGCCTACCTTCCTCTTGCTTCAGCGTGAGGTGCTCCTCGGCCTGCTCCTCCCAGCCCTGACACAGCTTGAGGAGGCGGTGCTCTTCTGGCTCCTGCCTGCCGAAGACACAGGCCTGGGCCCAGGCAGCACAGCCACCACCCTGCACAGGAGGCTAATGGGTCCCAGGGGAGGGAGGGATGGAGTGGTGGGAACAGCCCTGGGGAGTCCCTGGCAAGTGGTAGGAAGGAGGGGTGAGGCAGAGGGTGAGATGGGGGTAGGAGGTGGAAAGGGGATCTGAGTGGGATAAGAGCCAGAGACCTGCGGGAGAGTCCAGAGGGTGAGGCAGGGACCAGCCCAGGACAAAGCTCTGAGCCTGGGGACCCGGTGACCAGCAGTGGTCCCTACCATGGCCTGGTGTAGCTTGGGCTCCACTCATGGCTCTGGGGCAGCAGCTCTGTCCGCCTCCAGCCTAGGTCTGGGCCAGGACCCCACAGGACTGGGCTGGGCACAGGGCCTGGGAGGGCAGCCACAGGGGTGGGGGCAGGGGGCCAGGTCCACAATGGGGTAGTGGCAGATGCTGAAATGGGGGTCTGGGATAGGGTCATAGGGGCTGAGTAGCTGGTGCGGACTGAGGTGGGACATGGCATCAGGGTCCTAGGAGACTTGCAGGCTGTCAGGGCCCGGGCCTTCCAGGCCCTCCGATGAACAGCTTCCTCCTCTTCTGCCTCCAGCAAGCACTTCATGAAGCCACGCCGGGGATTCCCAGGACTCTTGGACTCCTGTGGATGGCCCAGCTCCCTCCTCTCATTCATGTCCCTTGCCTCCTGGGGACAGGGGAGGGGACCTGGAGGCTTCCACCTGGCCAGACTGTCCCACAAAGCTCCTTCTGGGCATCCTCAAGCTGTCCCTTCCTCTCTGAGCCCCTCCCTGTGGCATGTACCCTACATCTGCTTGGCTCCCATCTGCCACCAGCCACCAAGAGCTATGGTTTTGAGTTAGTGACACCCAGCACCACCCCAGGGATCATTCCCTTTACTGCTGTCAGTGTGGCCTGCAAAGATTCTGTCCCCACCCAGGCAGTAAGTGGCTGGCTGGGATTATCTTCATGTCCTCCTTTCCTTGAGGTCTTCAGCAGCTACAACACCCAACCAGGATGCTCTGGTCCCCGTCTGCATAACTCAAATGGCACTGCCCTGGCCTCTGGGTGCCCCCCAGGAGTAACCCTCAGCTCTTCCAAGTCTCCCCACCCTTATCTGCTTATTATTTCTGGTGAAATTATTCATTTGTTACATGTTAGTGGTCTCTCTGTCCTCCAACTGGGTTCTCAACTTCTTGCACCATTAACTTCCCATGGTCACAACTCAATATATGGTGTCATCCTCAATATATCTATGTTTACTTAAAAAACTATTTCACTTTTTTCAGTGTGTCTGAGGCTGGACAAGGTGGTACCCAACTGTAAATCCAGCTGCTTGGGAAATGAAGCAAGATGATCCCAAGTTTTAGATCAGCCTGGGCACTTTAGTGATTGATTGATTGATTTTTTTTTTTTTTTTTTCAGAACCGGAGATTGAACTCAGGCCCTTGTGCTTGCCAGGCAAGCGCTTATTCTACTGAGCCATCTCCCTGGCCTCTTTAGTGATTTATTGAGAACCTTTCTCAAAAAATAATTTTAGGGATGGGGAGATGGCTTAGTAGAATAAGCGCTTGCCTGGCAAGTGCAAGGGCCTGAGTTCAACCCCTGGTTCTACCAAAAAAATAAAAATAAAATAATTTTAAATGGGCTGGGATATAGCTCAGCATGAAGGCTGTGGGTTTGATCCCCAGTGCCCCCTCAACAACACACACACACACACACACACACACACACACACACACATACACATACACACGTCTTAGGAGAAAGACTGTGTGAATACAACACTTTACCCCAAGGAAGTACTCAGAGAACAGAAGTGTTGAAAATGCAGGGAGCTCCTCCAAAAGTTCTGCAGGCCAGAGGGGAGAGCCAGCTTTCCCCCTGACAAGCACTCCTTTGATTATTTTCCTGAATAAAAGAAAAACACCGGGTGCACCTGATGGTGGAAGCTAGCGATCCCCAAACTTTAGGAGGCTGAAGCAGGAGGATAGCAAGCTCAAGCCCAGCCTGGGCAACTTAGTGACTTAATGAGACCATGTTTCAAAATTTTAAAAAATGAAAAGGGCTGGAGATGCAGCTTGGGGTGAAGGCTCTGGGTTCAGAAATCTTCAATCCTGCGACAAGCAAGCAAACCAAAAGAAGTTGGGCTGGGGATATAGCTCAGTAGCACAGCACGAGCCTGGAAAGCGTGAGGTTGTGAGTTCGAATACCAGTACCAGGAAGGAAAAAAAAAAAAAAAAAAAAGAGCCGTAGTGTGTGGTGGCCCGCACCCGTAATTCCAGCACTCTGGACGAAAGTGGGAGCATCACAAGTTCAAGGTCAGCCTGGGCAATTTAACAAGACTCTGTCTCAGAATAAAAACAAAAAAGAGCTGGGATTACAGAAATATAAATTAAAACATTGAGATTCCATTTTCCTCTAGAAATGCTGGCAAGCTGTGCGGGGAAAGGAGGAGGCCTTCTGCATTGAGGGGGCGGGGATGTAAACTGATACAACCACTATGGAAATCAGTACCAAGATTTCTCAAAAAGCTGAAAGCATAAATCCCATCTGGCCTGACTATTCTCCCGCTAGGTATCATTCCAACGATAAAGAAATTGTTTATTAGAGTGATACATGCACAACCACGCTTATGTCAGCAGAATTCATGACAGCTAAGTCTTGGAAGTGTGTCACAGGTCCGTCACCAGTGAATGGATAAGGAAAATGGGCACTGACACACAGCGCAGTACCACTGTACTGTGTGGTAAAGTAGATGCATAAAGATATATCTACTTTATATGTC